CGTGAGGCTGCAGGAGCTCTAGGGAGACACTGTGGTGCTGTGAGTCTCTCTGGGCCCCACCCCAACCCAGCCCAGAAGCACATGTTCCCCACTCCTGTGGCCCCAGCTCCTCAGGAGCTGGCAGGATTGACTGCCCCGGCCCAAGGAGATGGGGCTGGAAGGTTCCTCCCAGAGGCAACAGGTGAGGAAGCCTGGGCCCCCGCGCTGGCCGCCGGGGAAGTGGCCAAAGCCCCGAAAAGGGGCCAAGTTTTGTTTAGAAGGCCAAGAAAGGGGCTGGGAATTTAAACAGGCCCAGGGATGGGGCTGAAACCCTGAAGAGGTTCAACCACTCATTGAACTTTGTTACCCCCCACCTCCCAGAAAGGGACTGAAGTTAAGAAGTGACCTGGCTGGAGAGCTGGGAAACCATAAAACTGCTAAAGGCAACGAGTCTCCAGGGAGAAAGCCTTGTGGGTACTGCTCTATAACAGGGCGAGGACAGACTTAAAGACAGCCCAGATGGGGCTGAGGACTGAGCTCAGAGGCAGGGCCACAGACACCAACAGGGGCACAGTGATAGGCCCTGGTGGACCTTTGTTACCCTCAAAGGGGTTCCTCACTTTTAGACTCTGTGTGACTTAGCCAGAGGGCCGAGCCATTAAAGAACATCCTGATAAGGGCTGACAGGGGGCACCGTGAGGAGAGAGAGAGAGCAGGTTTGCACCCAGCCAGCAGGAGGCACTCATGAGAAGGGTGTTCACCTGTCACATAATGGTAATAGGCCTTTTAAGCCATCATTGTGGTCCACATATTTAGAGCAGCCTCCAGCATACCCTACAGGCCATTGGCTGCTGAGACTAGCTCAGATGTAGCATACATTGGCCTCGCTATGACTTTTATTCACCTCTTACTGCAGTGGAGGAGCGAGAGGGTCATTGTGGTAACTATATGCCAGCCAGTGAACTTTTTGGTATGGGGTTATTTCCCAGGGACCATTTCTGCCCAATATAAGTTCCGTTTACTATGCTTGGGCACAAAAGAGAATTGGGCCCTGGGTTTATTCTTTGATAAGTTAACAAAGAAATTCAGTATATGGACAGTTACATTCAGTATATGGACAGTTACATTTTCCGCCCGACCAAATTCCTTCAAGTATTTAGTACCCACTCCTGCCCATCAAAAAATATAGATATGTTCAAAGTTAGTGCTGCCCTTTGTCTCCAAATTAGCCAAACATCCCATCAGTCCTCTGGCACAGCAAGAATTAGGAAACAAAGCTCAAGCATTTAAACATCAAATAGTTTAATTTTTTTTCTCCACCCTGTATCATCTACCATATTTTAAAACAATCTTCTCATCCTTAAAGTGATGCCAACCAGTGCTGGTTTTGTGTTATGAAATACAGATTAGGAGCTAGGACAAGACCCACATGGTTAATTTTAAAGTTCATTTGAGTTTTACAACTGAGTGTTATGACCAATATTCCCCTTGTTTATACAGCTATGAATGTGCTTTGTTTCAAGTGGTTTTAATTTGTTCAGGGTTAAAACCAAATATTGTGCATGTCTTGGAGATCTTTTGGAAAGCATCACTAGAAGGACAGGATTGTACGATGTTTAGCTGATGCTGTGAATTAGAAGAATCTATTCCTCTCCTTTCTTTATTCCAATTTATTTTCTAAAATCTGCCATGAGGCTACAATGGAAGCTGTGGCTCTGTCATCCATTCTTGCATAGAAGTTATGGAAAAAGGGAAGCTATTGATTTCTATTGCCCATGAGCAAATATAGAGGGACTTTAAGAAAGTACTATCAATTTCTGTAGGAAGTTGCATGGGGTGAATACATTTCTTATCCATGATGTGGCCTATTTCAGCTAGCCTGTGTTCATCTTTTTGGATAATGGTGCTGTTCACTTCAAATGTCTGAGACCCTGGTCAGGTGAACCCATAGGGAAAGAATAGTAGATAGAATGGGAGTGTTTTCAGTCACAGCTCAAATAAACTTCTGGATAGCCCTATCCAAGATCAGATATGTGATTTTTAGAAAGCCAGTGCATGCTCTGATTAACCAATAGCCTAACATCACAATCCTTAGTGTTTCCATGAAAATGTGAGCTACTTCCATCACCCCGACTGATCATATTACAGCATTTTCTTTCAGAATGAAAGCTTTCGTTCTCTTACCAATAATCAATAACCTGTAAAATGGGGGAAATTATACTTTCCCTCTTTTGTAGAGTGCTTTGAGACCTCTGGACAAAGAGCACAATATAATAGCTAAATAGTGTTGCTATTATTATTATAATAGTTATCTGCTAAATTTTGGGTAAAATAGTGGGGGTTTATTTCACAAGCTTTACTTATCTCATCAACTTTGCTGTCAAAACCATAGCAACATCATAGTAAGAAATACAGTCAGCTTGTAAAATTCTACTGTGAAATGCTTTTAGCAGGAGAAAGGTGATTAAAAACAGATTTACAAAAAAGATAGCAAGTTTGGCTTTACAGAAATATTTTTAATTATTTATTTTCATAGAACCTGATCCTGCAGTCTTTACTCATGCAAATTCCCACTGGAGTAATGACTGCAAGATCAGGCCTGAAGACTTATTACTTTGAATGTGATGTGACTAAAACTCTAGACTCTGAGTGGTGTAGCGGTCACATCCAGGTCAGTAGTGCACCTAATATCAGTAAGTGATTCTAGGCAGTGAGTGAATATCTTAGCAGTCATTTCACTTCTTCAATTGTTAGTGCCACCAAACATACAGACTTTACACTACCACCACACAAGTTGTGGAATAGTCATCTTAAAGCCTGGCAAGTTAGATATAACTTACTAGGTATGGCTGAGTCACTTTTTCATAAGTGTTCACAGCTTTAATTGGTATAGCTTTGTCAATAACTGGAAAGATACATTGACTAATGTGTTTCCATGTTGTTGTTATAGGAGATCTCTAATCTCTCTTTAAAAAACAAACAAACAAAAAAAAGCAGACTTTAACAAACTCAGAAATTGGGTAGGTAGGGTCCTAGGAGAAGAAAATCTAAGGGGGGAAAATAAAGAGTTCAAGCAAGCTGGCAGTTTCAAAGAGACAATATTAAAAGCACAACTGCAAACTATCCCAATGCAAAGGAAAGATAGGAAGAATAGTCAGAGGCCAATATGGCTCCATCAGGAGCTCTTTAATTAACTGAAAATCAAAAAAGAATCCTATAAAAAGTAGAAACATGGATGAATTGCTAAGGAGGAGTAGAAAAGAACAGAGCAAACATGTAGGGACAAAATCAGAAAGGTTAAGGCACAAAATTAGTCACACCTAGTGAAGGACATAAAAAGGAATAAGAAGAGCTCCTTTCAATACTTTGGGAGTGAGAGGAAGACAAAGGAAAGCATAGGCCCTTTATTTAGTAGGGGAGGAGGGCTAATGACATCAAATAGGTTGAGGTGTTTAATGCCTATTTTGCTTCAGTCTTCACTAAAAAGGTTAATTGTGACCAGATAGCCAATACAATTAATATGAACAAGAGGGAAGAAATACAAACCAAAACAGGGAAAGAACAGGTTAAAGAATATTGAGATAAGTTTAGATGTATTCAAGTAGGCAGGGCCTTATGAAATTCATCCAAGGGTGCTGAAGGAACAAGCTGAAGCAATCTCAGAACCCAGCAATTATTTTTGAGAACTCATGGAGGATGGATGAGGTCCCAGAGGACTGGAGAAGGGAAAACACAGTTCTTATCTTTAAAAAGGGGAACAAGGAGGACCTGGGGAATTACCTAACTTTGATACTTGGAAAGATATAATTTGTTCTTGTTAAACAATTAATTTATAAGCACCTAGCGAATAATAGGATTATAAGACATAACCAGCAGGGATTTGTCAAAGAACAAATCATTGCTAAGCCAGCCTAATTTCCTTCTTTGACAGGTTTACTGGCCTAATAGGTAGGGGGAAACAACAGACATCTATCTTGTTTTTAGTAAGGCTTTCAAATTAGTCCCACATGACATGCTCATAAGCAAACTAATGAAATGGGGTCTAGGACAGGATTAGAATTCAAATTGGAGAACTGGTCTGAATTCAACAAGATGAAATTCAATAAAGAACTTTGCACTTAGGAAGGAAATCAAATGCACAACTACAAAATGGAGAATAACTGGCTAGTTAGGTGGTAGAACTGCTGAAAGAGGATCTGGGGTTTTAGTGGATCACAAATTGAATGAGTCAACGTGATGCAGTTGTGAAAAAGGCCAATAGCATTCTGGGCCGTATTAACAGGAGTGCTGTATGTAAGACACAGGAGGTAATTGTCCCTCACTACAGGGCACTGGTGAGGCCTCAGCTGTAGTACTGCATCGAATTCTGGCTGCCACACAAGTTGGCTAGAGTCTGGCAGAAAGCAACAAAAATGATGAAAGGTCAGGTTTTCTAAACCTATCAAGAAATGTTAAAAAAATTGGGCATGTTTAATCTTGAGAAAAGATGACAGGGAAAAGAGCTTGATAACCATCCTCAAATATGTTAAGAGTTATTAGAGAGAGGACTGATCAGTTGGTCTCCATATCCACTGAAGGCAGAACAAGAAGCAATGGGTTTAATCTGCAGCAAGGGAGATTTCAGTTAGAGATTAGGAAACACTTTCCAACTATAAGGGTAGTTAAGCTCTAGAATAAGCTTTCAAGGGAGGTTGTGGAATCCCCATCCACTGGAGGTTTTTTAAAAACAGGTTAGACAAATGCCTGCCAGGAATGGGCTAGGTTTACTTGGTCCTGCCTCGGTGTAGGGGGCTGGACTTGATGACTTCTGGAGTTCCCTTCCAGTCCTCCATTTCTGTGATTCTAGGATTTTCTTTAGATGAGTGGGAATCCAGATCTATCTTTGTTTGCAGGAACAAATTCTTAGTTATTTTATGCCCCGAACATCAAGTAAAATTTTATCATTAATAACTGAAACCAGGTAAATATTGTCAACTGGCTAAGACCATCTTGTTCAGTCATTAACAAGACCGCTGACAGGATACAGGGAAATTGTGATTTTTATTTTGACTGTACATTTCCAAGTAAAAGGGTGACACAGTGATAAAACACTACAGTTAAAATATGCCATTAAAATAAACTACAAAGCAACAAAACAAGGAAAACCCATTCCCAGAAATAAGTGCATGAAAAAACCCCATCATAAACATTGCTTTTAAATGTACATTTCACTTGTATTAGTATACTAGTGAGGATTCCTGTTCTTTGCAGTGTCTTTTAACTAATGTACAGGCTGGCTCTGAAGAAACACTCTGCTTTCTTTACCTTTCAAAAACCTTTGTTTAAAAAAGTGTTTCAGAATTGACCTTGTCTATTCTTAGAAATCTGCAGTAATAAGGCTGCCTCTGAAAGCATCATGTGGATTAACACAGTATGGGGCGGGGGAGCAACTTTTGCTTTCCTCAGATAGTGGTCCTACCTTATTTTCCTCTATTAGATAGAGTTAATGGATTATCTTCTCTGGGTAATGCATATCGTCAGGAACGCATTCTCTCCTTTTTAGTAAATTGTGGTACTTATTTGTGTTCAAGGTGGCATTATGTTTGCAAGCAACACTCAAATGTTGGTGGTTAAACCAATCTAGAAATACAATAAGCTGCTCCCCCGCACAAGACTTAAAAAAACCCACCCTGTTTCAGTTCTAAAAATTCAGATTCCTAAAGATGGAGGTCCCTTCCAGTCCTACATTTCTAGGATTCGAAATGATCGCGAGTAGGTGACAAGTTGGATTCTGCTTAGGTTACTGAAAGAGAAAATGACTACACAGAAGAAGTACTGTCTCCTTTAAACCACTGCCTAGTACATACCTTTAATTCTACATATTGTTTAAGACCGGTTACTTTATTACCCTGAATGCTAGCTCAGTAAGCCAGGGTGCAGTTCCAGCTACAGTGATTAGATACTCTCCTAGCTAAATAAAACGTTGTGGAAGATGCTCCGTTAAACGGATCTTTTCGGCATTGTTTTCCATATCTTCGACTCGGGTGGCCAAAGGATTCTGGCCTCTCCCCCCCTGTCACCTGTGGGACGCCTGCAGGGGCATCGCCGATATAGCGGCGGCGAGGCCAGGGCTGGCACACCCCAAGCGAGCCTCCCGCGGCTCAGGGGCGTGACTCAGCCAGGGCGGCTGAGCGGAGCCCAGCGCGGGTTCTCTCCGCCGAGGGGCTCTGGGAGCTCGCTCTGCCGCCTGGGTTCCGCTTTGAAAACAGGCCCTTGCAAACACACGCCTTCAGGCGCGCCGCAGAGCGTCGCCCAGCGGCCCTTCCCCCAGGGGCAGCCAAGAGCCCGGGCCCGCCTTCCTCGCAGCTGCCCGGAGCGCACCGACACCCCCCCCCCCAGCGCTCCGGAGCCCGAAGCTTGCAGTCCCCGGCCTGGCACCCCACCCCGCGCCCCCTCCTCCCGCCGCCCCGCGCCTGCGATCACTTGGAGAACTGGCTCTGCACGGCGGCTAGGCTGAGGCTGGAGGGGATGAAGTGCGGGAACTTGCAGATGGCGCAGGTGCACAGGCTGGCGCCTCCGGCCAAATGCAGCTGGCTGCACTGCTGCTCCTCCAGGGACAGCGAGAGGTATTTGCTGGCGGACCGCAGGCTGTCCGGGTGGTTCAAGTTCCCCGGGGTGAGCAGCACAGAGCCCGGCGCAGCGAAGAGGGGCAGCCCGGCCAGCAGCAGCCTGGGCCCGGAGCCGCTCATCTCCCCAATGATCCGCCTGAGCTCCTGCAGCGAGCTGCCCAGCAAGAGGATGTAGTTCCTGGCCAGGAGCAGCGTGGCGATCTTGGAGAGCTTCCTGCCTGGGGAGCTCTGGCAGTGGGCTGCCGAGTAGGGCATGATCACCTCCCGCAGCGCGTCCATGGCCAGGTTCAGGTCCTGCATCCTCTTCCTCTCCCGGCTGTTGATCTTCCGCCTCAGCTGCTGCTGCTCCTTTTTCTGCTCTGTCTTGCCGCCGCCGCCTCTGGCACTGCCCAGCCCCTGCTGCTGCTCAGGAGCAGGCTCCGGCTTGTCATGCACTTGCTTAGGGAGCAAGGTGGAGGAGGGCTGCCTGTAGCCAACCAGCTCATACAGGGCTGTCCCCAGCTGCACCTCACCTGGGCGTTGTTGCCTCAACATGGTCCTCCTGCTGCGTTCAGACGAGGCGGCACACCTTCATAGCGAGGGCTGGGGGGGGGGCCTGACGGGCAGCTGCAGCGTACACACGAACACAGGGCTGGCCTTCGCACTAGACTCACGTTGCCGAAGGTGGCCACGGTGGGTAGGAACCATTTGCCGCCAGGAGCTTGTCGCTCAGGTCTGGGGAAGGGAATGATCTAGCCGGGGCCCTTTAAATCCATTTCTCCCACTTTGGGCAAAGGGATGGCAGTGGGCAGCCAATGGGAGCGCAAAGCTGGGCAGAGACGGGCTCTCATTGGTTGCCGCCTGCTGCGGGGAGGAAGAGTTGCACTTACAATAAACTTCTTCTTGTTGGCCAAGGTTTGCTCGGCAGTTCTGCGGCCCAGGAGCGCTGCCATCCCGGAGCCCATTTCCCTCCCACGGGCTCCTCTGCTTTGCCAGGCACCTTCCTTTGTTATTTGAGACACTCTGTTTTCTCCCTATATTTCTCCCCGTTCCCCTCCTGGGCTCTGACTGCTTCCAAGAATTTGAATGTCTGCCAAGGGATTGAAAAGAGAGTTTATTTCTGAACTGACTCTCCCTTTCAGAGCACATACAGCAGTGTCTGGTTTGTCTTTTTCTTTGCTTCCATAGCTCCTTTTAAAAAGCCTTTCAGATTCCCTCTTCCTCCAGTTGTTGTTGTTGTTGTTGATATTAAAGATGGGCTGTCTTCCCCTTCCTCCCCCCCCCCCAAAAAAAAACCAAATCAAAACAACAACAGAGAGTTGGGACCAACTGCAAAATTTGGATGGTGGATGAAATACCCCTTCTCAATTCTTAGATCCAGAATTTTTGCTCAGGCCCATCTCTACTTACTGAATTAATGTTTTCCTTTGAGTCTGTGTATTTCTTAAATATGCATTGTTGTAGCTGTGTTTTGTCCTAGGATATTGGGGAGACAAGGTGGGTGAAGTAATATATTTATTGGATCGTCTGTTGATGAAAGTGACAAGCTTTTGAACTACACAGAGCTCTTCTTCAAGCTGGAAAGCCTGTCTATGTATTAGATAGACAACTGAGCAGCCAAACTGCCTCTAAGTTCTCAGTTACCTTAGTGATACTTCAGAGTTTTTTGTATGGCATACTGGTCATTCTGTAGCCACAGTTTAAGACTAGCAGTTTAACAGTTGCATAAAAACAGAAATAGATAAGTAGATTTCACATATTCTACGAATCATAGTAAATTTTCATTGGTTTTAATATAAGAAATATGAATGTAACCAACAATTGGGACAAAATATGACATTAATTCTTTGTCTTTTCAACTAAAATTAAATGTAATGTGGTGAACCTAGATATTCCCCTAGTACAGTTTGATCTGTAGTGCACTGAACTCAATGAGAGTCTTTCCATTGATTTCTGTGGACTTGGGATCAAGCCCTTAATGCTGTTAAAGGAATGGAAGGGGGGAGAAAAAAAAAGCAGTGGAAGCCAGTGTGTCTGATGAGAAGAAATATTCAATGGAAGAACAGTTCTACTTTTTAAAAAAATGTGTTCACTGAGAATAGGCTTTAAAGACATTCATTTCTAGGTCACCTGTTCAGATTCAGCCCAGATCATCAGTGAGGAAAAACTCATTACTCTCTGAAAGTTATTCATCAATCTATAGGAAATGAGTCGGTGGGCTCAATGAATGTTCCCTTTATATGTATGTGTGTATGTGTATATATATATATATATATATAATTTCCTGGTGCAGAATGAACAGCTGCAAGAGCACAACTTATGTGCTGGGAAAAGAAGTACACAAAGTCAAGGATATGTTTACTGACAAAGAGAGTCTGTGCTTCTATCAGAATTAGTAATGAAGTGGAAGTCCAGCCTATGTAGGTATAGCTTTTGGAAGATAAACATGGAACACAGAGTGATGTGTTAAAGGGTTCTTGTAGGAACCGCTTACTAAAATTCTGCCACACTACTGAAAGACAGGTTGGGATCATTTCCCTGTCGTCAAAAATTTTCCCCTGTAGCTCATAAAAATACTTCTTAAGAGCAAATGTTGCTTGTGGAACAGATAACAGAGCTCCAAATGTATCCTTGAAATACTTATGGGGAAAAAAAGAGCTGCGGACATCACTTCTGCCCCTATTTCAAATTACCCAAGTGAAACACGGCACGCTGTTGGCCGTCTGCTCAGCATACTTTTCAGGTGCAAAGTAAAATAATTTCCAGCAAAAGGCACTTCATACGTTTTTGCGCCAGTGCTGTTGCTTCTCGCCTTGCTTGTGAGGAAATATTTTTGTTTCAAAGGGGAAAACTGATTAATAGAGCCTCCAGTCTCTCAGCCATTTTTTGTGAACACGCACAGGGAAAGCACATCTGAAACACGCATATATTGGGCACCTGATTTTCAATAGTATTTTGAAAATAGAAATATTCTCCACATTACCCCAGTACTTCTTACAAAAATGTGTACATCAACTTAACTTCATATACTGGATAAAACCAAGAAGCTTCGTACACTCTAGAAAGGATTGGAAGAAGGTATCAAAGAGGCTTCTGCCTCTGAAATTCATGCTGTTAGTCTTTTGTTGGATGAACTGGCCATGAAATTAATGGACCTGCTTTGGACACAGTCAGAAAACATGTCAGGATATTGACTAAGAGTCCATGTACTCAAAGAACTGAAACTATGGTGACTCTTCCCCTAGGATCATTTCTATAAGGTGGATTGATTAAAGCCCACACTTTGTGATGCTTGTAGAAATGACCACTTTAAATTCCATAGGAGTTAATATCTCTTTTCCTGTTCTGGTAATATGAAGAGGATGGAAATAGTCATACTGAAAAAGCTCTGTGCCAGCCCTCTCCCAAGCCCTGCCATAAGGAGCATATCAGGGAAGGGTGTGTGACTAGAATGCACCACACTCCAGCTATTCTCACTTGGGCAGATGACCCACAGGAGGCCATTTCAGCCAGAACATAAGTTAGAGCAGCCCCTAGGCGAACATGCGCCAGGGCTGGGCAGGCCCTCAGCTATCCCAATGATACAAGGAGTGCAACAATGGCTTAAAGCTACCTTTACTGCTGCCCTGCTCCCTTACAGTTGCTACACCAAGCCCATCAATGGAGGAACAGGGAATCAGTGGCCCTGTTTTGTAACCAACTCCTCCTCTCTTCCCATCTGATTCTCTGACCAGAGGAGCCATTGTCAAGAATGGGGCAGAAATTAAATCCTTTTTCTGCTTGTACCAATTGAAGTTAGGGAGGGAGAACATTTAGAATGTACACAAGTTTCTTCATCCCCTTCCTCCTCCTCTTCATGTTTCTAATTTTTCCTTTCTCCAATGATTTATTATTGATGATTATTTGTATTGCAGTAGAGCCGCGAGGTCCAAATCATGTCAGGACCCTACTGTGCTAGATACTATACCGGCATGCACACACACACACACACATCCCATTCTCCTTTCTCTTCTTTGGAAAGATAATGTTGATAGTAATTCAGTGTAACACACCAGTCTCAAAGCTGCTGAATTACTGCTTAGACTTCTTTAATAGGAAAGACTCTCTGATAGGTTTTTTCCATGAAAAAAACATTTTAAAACTCAAGAGCGGTTCAATTTCTGAAATTCAATCCTCGTCCTTTTAAGACTAAATAAAACAAAACCAAGGGGGGAAGAGAGAGAGAAACAGCAGAAAAGAAAATGCAATTCCTTTCTCTGACTCTCTCACAGTTCCAGTGTAGCTGCTGGAAATCACAATCGTAGCACTTGGTCAACCTTTATCAGAATTGTTTATAGGTGCAAGGGTGGATTTGTTGTGCCTGGCTAAGCTAGACTCCTATTAGACAGAATGCAAGCAGAAAAAGATGGGAAATAGGGGAAATGACACATAAGAAATGGGGTAATAACAGGAACCTCATATTTACATCACAGGTGTTGCATACGATGTTGAACTTGATGAAGGTGGTGATGTCATCTTGTTCTCTCTTCTTGTTCAGTCTGATCAGAACATCTTTCAGGATTAGGACAACCTATGGTGATTGTGATGTGAGAGAGGAAAGGATTTCTGGGGCTCCCCTGCCCCCAGTCTCACTTCTGATGGGGAAGGGAAGACAGCTGTAAAGCTACTGTTGGTGGTGCAACTTCTTCTTTTGGGACTTCCCTTTCCCCGCCTGCTGCTGCCACCACCAGTCAGGTGAACAGGTTAAGGGAATGTGGCGAGGGGCAGAGGGGAGAACAGTTGAAGGATGTGGGTGGGGGATGGAGTGTGAGAAACAGCTAGTAGATTTGAGTGGTTTGTAGTGGTGAACTCCACTGACTTCAGTGAAGTTACTCCTGAATCTCACCTGTGTAAGTGAGAGTAGAATCATGTTCACCATCTATAACAGCCATAGGCAACCTGTGTAAGGGTTCTGTGACGGGTCAGAACTGTTGCACAACAGCCTAATGCTACCTTTTGTTCACACCAACTCCCACCAAGACATACTGTAGGGTGTGTTTCTGGGTTTGTGTACATATTAATATAAAATACATATACTGAATAAGTCAACCTACCTTTCATTGTCTGGGAGGGAATCCAAGATTATGAAAAGGCACCAGAAGAAGATCTGAGGCATGCTAATTATTCAGACAAAATGCATGTAGTTAGTAAAGCAGAAGCCAGTTATTTCCCTTCTTTGATCAGAGCAATATGTTGCAGATGAGCAACAGACTAACATACAGCTTTTGATAGCAAGAGGACTGAGTTTTGAATGTTCACAGAATAGATTGTATTTTCCAGCAAACAGGTTCTTCAAATCCCATAGCTAGTATTTAGCAAATTTGATTTTTTTTACATGAAGTTTCAGATTAACATTCTGTTTTCAAGACGCATTTATATGAACACAGTAGTAATCCAATGAATCAGCTGAAAATTATTTCCTGATTAGATCACATCAGTTATTGGTTTTTATTTTAAATATGGCTATTCGAAAACCAAATACTTATACTGAGAGCATTTTTTATTTTGCCACAGGCATCAGTAGCTTCAAAACCCACACAAATAGAAAGTTTAAAGCAAGAATATTTTACTCCTGTAACAATTAACTACATTCTCCTAATATAAAATGTCTTAACATAGTCCAATAATATACATAGGAATCTACTTTCTCTTTCTTCTACTGAAATCCAATATGACAAGGCAATTTTGCAGAAAGAAAAATAAAATGAATAAAAAATAAAG